AGCGTGTTTCTGATCACAGCTCAGCCTTACATTTTTAGTAATGGTTATCAGATAAGGTTCAGTGAAGAGCCTTGTATGCATTGCAATCTTGGGTACATTGTTCCTGAATGGGTTGAGGAAAACCCAACTCCGTCTGACATAAGACAGATATATGGTTCTGGTTCTGCCCTTCCAACTACAACACTGATCTTACCTCTAAAGCCTGACAAGGTCAAACCTGTGAAGCAGCAGCTCTCTAAAATGCACCCTGAAGTTCTCTTATTCCTTGCAAAGGTTAAGCGGCTCTCGGTTAGGGAAGTTAATGAGGATCCAAAGCTCAACACTGTAACCGCGATAGCAATATCAAGTGAGATTGATTTTGAGACGCGGAAGAACATTGATGCTGATTCCTACACGCTCCATCTCTCTGCAGAAGAAAATGGTAATGAGTTGGAAACTGAATGCAGCTATTATATGTGGAAGCAGAAGTTTCCTGTCAAGCAAGACTGCAGAGATGAGAAGAGAATGGAGGTAGATGAGTGGGTGATCACGCTAGCATTTCCATATGGAGAACGCCTTAATAGAGGAACAAGCTCACCTGGGATCTATGCTTTCCTTCCCACCGAAATGATTACAAATTTGCCTTTCATAATTCAGGCAGATTTTCTTTTAGCATCATCAAGAGAAAATATTCTATTGGGTAAGAAGTGGAATCAAGGAATTCTGAACTGTGTGCCCTCTGCATTTATTAATGCATTTCTCTCGCTTGTGAGAACTGTAGAAGATGCGCCAGTATCTAGTTTGCCTCCCTTTTTCAGGTTCTTACCTGTCCAGAGCTCTCACTATTATGAATTGAATGTTGTGAGGGAGTCGATCAAAGCACAGCTGGTGGAGGAAGATATTGTACCATGTGAGCCGCACAAGGAGCAGAAGTTCTTCCATAAACCTCGTGAAGTGGGTAGGTTATTGCCTGCTTTTTGGAATATTTTGAGAAAGGCAAGGGAAGTAGGGGCAAGCTTGCCGAATCTCTCTTCCCATGGAAAATATGTTTTGTGTCATTCATTTGACCAAGAGGAGTATGATCACATTCTGAGTTTCCTTGGAGTTGAACCAGTGGATGATGAATGGTATGCTAAATGCATTCAGAGTTCCAATCTGGTAGTTGGGGTTCCAGAAGATGTCTACTTGGAACTTCTACTGTTTATTGCTGATAATTGGTGGCCCAAATTTCATTGCACCAACATCAAGTACATACCACTGATAAAATTTGTGGATCTTTATGAGCGTGCTTCTTTGTGCAGCTTGAGCTCAATGCGGACTGGTGAAAAGAAGGTTCGCCTATCCCGTCAATCTTGGGATGTTTCATGGCTGATTGACTGGAACCGTGAATTTATATCTGTGGCAAGTCTTCTTTTTATGCCAAAAAGAACCCAGGAAGCTATCCAGTCATGTCCTAACAAGGACAAGTTGGTGAAATGGCTTGCGGAAGAAATGAAGGTTGATACTTTAAATGTACGCGAATATGCAGTTTGCCTCTATAATTCTCTTGGTAATGAACGGAAACCTGCTGTTGCATATGCTCACTTTTTGTATCATTCATTCTGCAAGAGATATATCTCTTATCGTGAAGTTGTTGATTTATGTGGTAAGATGCCACTCGTGAATAACTACGGGTATGTCATCAGACAAAGGACGGGGGTTATTGTCCCTGCCAACGAAAGCAAGTGGGCTGGGTTGACTGATTCAAATCTATGGACAGAAGAAGGCTATGTTGAGTTAGGAGAAGATTACATGAATACAGGCTGCTTTGCAGGTACAGTTACTGAATCGGAGCAGCTCCTTGAGTTCATCAAACTTCATACTGGAGCTTCGGATGTCCCTTATATTTCTGCTCCCAATGCCTGTATTCCAACTGTATCTGCAACACTTACTAAGAAAAATGCATTCTTGCTTTTGGAATGGATTCGTCACCTGAGATATCAAAGGGCTTACATCCCGGAGAAGTTCTTGAAATGTATAAAGGAAGGTAGCTGGTTGAAAGTTACTTTGAATGGTTTTTCTGCGTCCAGGCCACCTTCGCAGTCATTTGTACTTACACCATCATGGGGAAACATTTTGCAGAACGGATCCGCTTTTGTTGATATCCCGTTGGTTGACCAGAGTTATTATGGTGAGAGAATTGATGGTTACAAGGAAGAGCTGAAAACAATTGGAGTGATGTTTGAATTTGGAGAAGCATGTGAGTTTATTGGGAAGCATCTTATGTCTCTGGCAGCGTCGTCCACTTCAACTAGAGGCAACGTACTTTCAATACTACAATTTATCAAGCTCTTGAGGGACAAATGTCTTCCCCCAGACGATTTCATCCGCAGTATCAGAAAAGGACAATGGCTTAAAACAAAATCTCATGGTTATAGGTCTCCTGTTGGATCTGTCTTGTTTGACCAAGAGTGGAGAATTGCATCCGAAATAAGTGACATTCCCTTCATTGATCAGGAGTTATATGGTGAAGAAATCTTCCGTTTCAAGACAGAACTTGAGTTGCTTGGTGTGGTTGTCTCCTTCAAAAGAAATTACCATCTTATCATCGACCACCTTAAGTCACCTGCATGCTTAACTGCTCTGACACGTGAGGCTGTTCCACTAATGCTGGAAATTATGCGTATTTCAAATTCATCTGATAAGATTGTCGAAGCATTGAAAGGACCGAAATGCCTGAGGACAAATAATGGTTACAAGTCTCCACGTGAATGTCTCTTGTTTCACCCTGAATGGGGTTGCCTTCTTCAGGTCTTTAGTGGCCTCCCATTGATTGATCATAATTTTTACGGAAGCATAATCTTTGACTACAGAGACGAGTTGAGAAAGATAGGGGTAGTTGTTGATTTTGAAGAGGCTGCAAAAGTATTTGCTCGCCATTTCCGGCAGGCTTCCATCATCACCAAAGAAAATGTTTCATCATTTTTGTCCTGTTGCAGAAAGCTGAAGGGAACTCAGTTTAGATTTCCTGCGGATCTTAAGAGTTGCATTCGCGAAGAAAAGTGGCTGCGTACTCGCCCTGGTGTTTATGGATCTCCAAGACAGTGCATTCTCTATAGTCCTAATTGGGATTCTGTCTCTCCAATATGTCCTCTTCTCCCTTTTATTGACGACTCTGATAATTGGTATGGCAAGAACATTCATGAATATAAGGAAGAGTTGGAGAGCTTGGGGGTGGTTGTGGAATTCAAGGACGGGGTCGAGTTTGTGGGTCTTGGTCTTCAGCTTCCCCAGAATCTGAGCTGCATTTCTCGAGGAAACGCACTTGCTTTGCTGGAATGCATAAGGATTCTATTGCAGAAGAAAGATTACTCCTTTCCTGATGCGTTCATGAAGGAAGTTTCTCAGGCATGGTTAAAGACTGGTGCTGGTTATAGGATTCCCACCGAGTGCTTGTTGTTTGATTCCAAGTTTGGTGAGTATGTAAAGCAGACTGATGGGCCTTTCATTGATGCAGAATTTTATAGTTGTGAAATTGCAACATACAGACAAGAGCTGTCTGCAATAGGAGTGATTGTTGAAGCGGCAGAAGGATGTCCTTTGATTGCCAGCCAGCTTTATCTTCATGATGAGTCTTCCACTTTCGTTCGAGTATATAAATACTTGAGTGAGTTTAAGTGGGAGCCAGATAGTGAGGATGACAGATGGATCTGGATTCCGAAGGGAGATCAGAATGGAGATCGGGTTAATCCAGATGACTGTGTTGTATATGACAAGGATGAGCTATTTGGTTCGCAGTTGACTGTTCTGAAGAACTACTTTGAGCATAACCTACTCGTGTTCTTCTCCAGGGCTTATGGGGTAAAGTCCCGTCCTTCAATTGATGACTACTGCGAGCTCTGGAAGGTGTGGGAAACTTCTGAAACTGGATTGTCGCAGGATCAATGTTGCAAGTTCTGGCGGTATGTTTCAAAGAACTGGAATGCAAAAACTGAGAAAGCTCTCCCTGAGGCCTTGGTGAAAGTACCTGTCTCACCTGTTAATTCAGGCTCAGATGAAATCTTTTTGTTAAACAAGCGAGATGTTTTCCTTCCAGATGACCTTCAACTTAAGGATCTTTTTGAACAGTCTTCTTCTGACCCCATATTTGTTTGGTATCCTCAGCGAAGCTTGCCTGACTTGCCTCGGACTACATTGCTTGAAATGTATAGGAAAATTGGTGTTCGTGCTATTTCTGAATCTGTACAGAAGGAAGAACTGTCCCTAGAAAATGCTGTTGATCAACAGGTAATTCCAATGGAGAAATTGATCGGGAAAGCACTACTCCGGGTGATTCTTGGTTTTCTAGCTTGCGGTCCCATTGAAATGGAAGTAGGGACGAGGCTAAAAGCAGTCCAAGGTCTTCTCAATATCACTGTTGTAGAGACAACTGAACCGATCACTGTAAGATATAACTTACCATTGTCTTCTGGGGAGATTTTAAATGTGAGAGCAAGCAGCAAGATAAGATGGGACACAGAGATGTCGAAATTTTTCACTCAGAAAATTGACAGGTCTGGAGGACAGAAAAGCATCATTGAGTTTGCCACATATTTCTCTCAAGTAATATCTGATGGTGTCTTGTGGGAGCACACTGATCATATCCCTGCACTTTCTGAGCTGATCAAGTTGGCCTTTGTGCTAGAATTTAATGAGGAAGCAGTTGATTTTTTGATGAAGTCTAAGAATTTGCGAATTTTCATCGAGGATGAAGAGTTTCTCAATTCTGCCTTCCCTTCTTCCACCTAGGCATGCTATGAAGCATTTGTGGTAATGTTTGGTTTACGTTCTTTATTTGTTATCTTTGCATTAGAAATTTATATATAGAGTTGGAGAGGAAGGTAAGTCTGTCAATGTAATTTGTTTGTAGTATCAGTCTGTCAATATGTGTTGTGAACTTTATTTGTGTGACTTGTGTGCTTTTGTCAATGGATTCCGGACAGTTTCTTGGTTTGTAATTTAAATCAGTTGCTAGTTTGCTAATAATCTGTTAGATATGTTGAATTCTATTTTCACAAGAGGCCTTGTGTTGTGGCACTCATGGCTTCTTGTATTTTTCATTATGAATATTGCTTACTCAATATCCCCATGACCCAAATTGGCAGAGAAACCTGCTATCCAATCACCAGCAGAGTTTCGAATAAGACCCCCAGCAGCAATAGCACCACTAGAATCCTTTCTAGACCCATCAACATTCAACTTCATGGTAGAGGGAGGGGGAGGCTTCCACGCCAGCATAGTTGGCTCCTTTTTTTTGGGGTCAAGACCAGCACGTGAAATTAGGACATCTCCTCTGCCCGGCTTCTCCTCCTCCTCCTCCTGCTCTAATTGCGATTCTGAACCTGAACCTGAACCTGAAACCTTTCTGGATAAACCATAGGCCAGCAGAGCTCCAGCAACAGCGCCAGCGCCAGCGCCTACAATTGCACCGGTGTTCCTCTTCCTCCTAGAGCCATCACCGTCCTCATCATTGTTCCCAGAGCCAGAGCCTCCCCTGCTTTCATTCGCTCCCATTTTTCTACTATTCAATCAATCCAAACTCAACTCTCTCTATTTGACTTTGCAACTCTACGTGATTATATTATTTATATAGAAACATTGGAACTGCCTTTTCCAACGAAAGGTGTTTAGATTCTCAAAGACTAAAACTAGTCGAGGATTCCGCGTCCAAAGCTCATGCTTTCCGTACAAATCCCACTCTTATTCCCACTAGATAAGTTTACCTTTCTATGACCAAAAAAGAAAAGAAAAGAGAGAGAGAGATAAGTTTACCTTTCATTTCAATAATGTTTGTTTGGTTTTCTTCTTTTTTTGCTTTTCTTGTTTCCTCTCTCACTTTTTTTTTTCCTTAGTTGTGAAGGTTACATTTCCTCTCTTTGCATTGAATCATTAACCTTCATCACTAAGTTTTATTTGTTTATAGGGTTTTTTATCGAAATGGTCCTTCAAGTTATACCTGTGTTCCATTTTGGTAATGTAATTTGTCTATTTCATGTCAAATTGGTCTCACCATCAAACTCCTTCAATATTACCGTCATTTTAAGGGCTAAAATTCTCAATTTGTATATATTTGTCATGATTTAGCCCTCAAATTAACGGAAATATTGACGGAGTTAGAGGGTGAGACCAATTTGACATGAAAGGAAGAATTGAAAGACCATTGGCGTGAAAAAATTAGTTGAAGGACCGAAATGGAACTTGGGCATAATTTCAAAGACCACTTCGATTAAAAACCCTTGCTTATATTAGTAAATATAATATTGTTATTTATCTCTACCATCATGTGAGAAATTATTGAGTGATGCCGTATTACCACGTCATACGGTGACACTTCCACTTAAAATTTTATGTGACGGAGTTTACGATTTGGACTTGATTAGACCACACGACTAAAATTGCCAAAATTGAAATGTGATGAACCAATCTGGAAGATGAGTCAAATTAATTGACCCAAAAAACAAAAACAAAAAACTCTCCAGATTGAGATAATTTCACACCCAACCTATTCCAATTGTTCAAAAAATAAATCATATATATGCATTAAGTATTGCTTTTGTTTTGGTTGTGTACTTCTGTCTGTTGGAATCTCTTGTTATTCTGAACAAGTTATTGCTTTTTATTGAAGCATGTTCTGTCATCTGGTATTTTCAGAACGGTTTACTAATAGGTCAAATTCTTGATTTATATCAATCTTTGATTACTTCGGATTCTGTTTCTACTTGAGGTGAGACTACCATAATGATCTTTGACATACAAGTCCTAATAAATTTTAGTTTTATGGAAACAATTCTCCCCTGCATTGAAGTTATTGAGTTTGTGTCGGACTTTCCTAAATATGACATTACTCTATTTTTTCATTGCATTTAAAGGTTTTAAGTAAGCTGAAGGGTGTTATGAACAACGCACAATCAGTTTCATAATAAAGAATGAGATTAAGTTAAAATTATATTTAAGCTGTGGGCACACACATACTGAATTATTCGCCAGAGATAGAAACCAGTGTTTTCAAAGGCATGCCTTCGCGCACGTCGGAGCAAAGCGGCAAGTAATTGCCTAAGGCGATCAGCTGTTTCGCGAGTTGCACGTTTAGCGCGGGCAAGGCGTGGCTAGGCGGAGCAAGGCGGCACTAGATCTGGACAATTTTGAACCGGAAGAGATTTTGCGCAGATGAGTCTACAAAATGGCTGCGAGGAAGACCACTCGCGTGTTTTGTTTTTAGGGTTAAATGAAACGATGTCGTTTCACGTGAGTGTTTTGAAAAATATAAAACGCAAGCTGTAGCTTTCAGTTTCACTATTAATAATATCTTTCTTGTCCTTTTTTTTTTTTTTTTTTTTTTGGGAAAGATGAACTTTCATAAATAAAGACCAAAGATTCTCGCCCTTTTCTAACTCCTGGCGACTGTAAGTAAGCCATTCTATATTTTACTTACCCTTTTTTTTTGACTTATATTTATAACCCTAATTTCTACCCTTACCAAATAATCTCTATCAATTTCAAGAAATCTCTTCATCTTTAGACTGCAAGTGAGCCATTCTATATTTCTCTCTAATGCTTCGCAACTGTAATTTGAAGTTTTGTATAATTTAGTTGTATAATTTAATTGTATTATATTATTCATAAATTTTTCTTATTAAAATAAATTAATGTTCAAAAGGCTTACGCCTCACATCAACGTCTCATCTTTCAAAACATTGATAGCAACATGGAGAATGGTGGTATATATCACCATTACTGGCTCTGAATGAATAGCAATTTTCCACATCCTTGCAGCAGCTAAATTTTATGAGCCATATTAGTGTCTCCCGCTTTGATTATCTTCACCCCTTGAACTTTGGAACTCTGTGATGATCTATAGACCTCCACAATCTTTTCCTGGTGGCCTTTCATGGCTTTTGTCAATGCATGGGAGTCTCTTGTTCTGGACAGGTTATTGGTGTGTAATTAAAATCAGCTGCAAGATTGCTAATAATCTGTCAAATATGTTGAATTCTATTTTCACAAGAGCCCTTGTGTTGTGGCACATCATGGCTGCTTGTATTTTTCATTATGATTGCATAGTCAACTCATGACAGCTAATAATTTTGGACCTAGATCTAAGAAAGTCCTTGAATTTTTCTCTTTCTAAAGTTGGAACATGTGGCATTTTCCAAATCCTCTCTCTCTCTCTCTCTCTCTCTCTCTCTCTCCAAGAAAGAAGTTAATTAAAGATCAAATCCCATATTCCTCCTTGGTTTTCTAGCATGCATTAACCTTAATTTCCTACTTTAATGCACAACTTGTATATATTTAATTTGCTTTCACTTTGTTTAATCTTATGTTCTTCATTTTGAATTGGAAGTAATTAAATTACAATTTAGATTATATGCCTAGAGCGAGGGCATGGAGTGTATTGAAAACACAAGGACGAAAGGAATTGTGCAAAGTTGACCCACTCATAATTGTACCAGGAATTGGTAAACTTGATGGCACAACCCCCTACAAAAATCAAGCCGCCTTGTCCGGAATCTAATTTGAGTCCAAATTTAATCCATACTTAATCATACTAGAAGCAGAGTATTTTTGGGTTGATTCGATGATCCAAACCTGATCCGACTGTTGTTTTTATTTTATTATGTTATATTAATTAACAGTTGTCCTCTATGCGATTTGAATTCAGAACTCAATCCAGCATATATATAGTCAAACAAACAGAACATACAAGAGAAAGAAAAGCCACGCACAGCAGTATATTTATTGATATAAAGGCAACTGCAAAATCCTCCCACTCTCCCTCCCTCACTGGCTATCTACTTGCGGTGGAGGTCTTTGAAATAAGCTTTAGGGTCACGCGCAAAATCATCCCTTAAGATTTGCTCGCCTCCTCGGCCCGGAGCTTTCATCGTCTTCCCCTTCTGCTTTGGTTCTGATTCTGAACCTGAACCTGAAACCAGACGGGATAAACCATAGGCCAGCAGAGCCGCTCCTGCCACAGCGCCAGCTGCAATTGCACCAGTGGACAAGTCAGCCTTGTCGTTACGCAAGTCACCACCATTTTCCTCATTGTTTCCAGACCCTTCCCTGCTTTCATTCGCTCCCATTTTTTCTACTATTCAATCCAATCCAAACTCTACTTGATTTTGCAACTTGGTTTTGGACGGGACGGTGTGTGGCTATATATATTACCAAAGGTGTATAGATTCTCAAAGACTAAAACGACTCAAGGACTCGGTGGTCAAAGCTCATGCTTTTCGTACAATTCCCACTCATATTACCACTACATCACCTGTTTCCTTTCACTTTCTTCTTTAGATAAGTTTACCCTTCATTTCTATAGTTTTTGTTTGCTTTTCTTCTTTTGCTTTTGTTGTTTCCTCTCACTTTTTCTTCCTTCTTGACAAAGTTACCTGTCCTCTCTTTGCATTGAATCTTCAACTTCATCACTAACTTTTGTTTGTTCATAGGGGTTTTTTTTATTATCGAAATGGTCTTGAACTTATACCCGAGTTCCATTTTGATCCTTTAATTCTCTATTTCGTATCAAATTGGTCCCATCGTCAAACTCCGCCAATATTACCGTCAATTGAAGGGCTAAAATGTCGTCAATTTGTATATATTTTTCATGATAACCTCAAATTAACAGAAATATTGACAGAGTTAGACGATGGGACCAATTTGACATGAAATTAAGGAAGAGTTGGAGGACTATTGGTGTGAAAAAATTGGTTGAAGTACCAAAATAAAATTTGGGCATAAATTCAAGGACCATTTCGATTAAAACCCTTGTTTATGTTAGTAAATATCCAGTGATATTTCCACTTAAAATTTTGTGTGGCTAAATTTATGATTTAGACTTGATTAGATCACATGACTAAAACTACCAAAATATTGAAATAACATGAACCAATATGAAAGATGAGTCAAATTACGTGAACCAAAAATGTAATTGAGCCAAAAAAAAAAAAACTCCAGATTGAGATAATTTCACACCCAACCTATTCAAATTGTTCAAAAAATAAATCATATGCATTAAGTAATTGTGTGACAAATTATTTATAGGATTGCATTATACCAATTTTTATTTATTTTCCTTATATTCTTACTCCCTCCCAAGGAAAGGAAGAGCTGAAGGTTGAAGATATATTTCAAACGGCACTCCACTTACTAAAAAGCTTGGGGAGGAGTTTCTCAATTCTGCCTTCCCTTCTTCCACCACCTAGGCATGATGCTATGAAATAATATTTGTGGTAATGTTTGGTGTGTTTGGCTATAGATATATGGAAACATTGGAACTGCCTTATACCAACTTTGGCCTTGGTTGACGAAAGGTGTTTAGATTCTCAAAGACTAAAACGACGTATCAGCGTCCAAAGCTCATGCTTTTTCGTACAAATCCCAGCCATTTTACCACTACATCAAATGTTTCCTTTCACTTTCTTATTAGATAAGTTTACATTTCAATCATGTTTGTTGCTGGTTTTCTTCTTTTGCTTTTGTTGTTTCCTCTCTCTCACTTTTTCTTCCTTCGTTGAGATGGTTACCTTTCCTCTAATTGCATTGAATCATTAACCCTCATCACCAAGTTTTATTTGTTTATTTTAGTAAATACTAGCCCCTTGGCACACGCTTATACGTGTGCCAATTGGTTTTTTATTTTATTTTATTTTTTTATTTTTAGAATTAAGAAAAAATAACATGGGTAGTTATGTTCCATAAAAGTAGGACCTATTATCTGATTTTTATTTTTATTTTTATTTTTTTAATATGAAAAAGTGTAAATTTATCATATTATCCTAATTTAATTAATAATTTCAATTCTTAATGTTTGCATTAACCAAAGGCATTTTTTGGTATTTTGAATGTTTTACCATTATCTGCCTTTTGCTTTATATATATATAATATTGTCAAAAATTAAATTATTTAAATATATATAAAGCAAAAGGCAGAGAATGGTGAAACATTCAAAATATCAGAAAATACACTTGGTTAATTCAAACATTAAGAATTGAATTATTAATTAAATGAGGATAATATGATAAATTCACATTTTTTCATATAAAAAATAAAAATAAAAACAAAATCAGATAATTGATCCTATTTTTATGAAACACAACTACCCATTATCTTTTTTAATTCTAAAATAAATTTAAATTTTTTTTTTAAAAAACCTCCACTTACTTCAAGCTAGTATGCATTAAGTAATTGTTTGACAAACTATTTATAAGACTTATTTCAAGCTGCACTCCACTTACTAAAAAAAATCTCATCCCATATCTAAAGTAATCTCGTTAATTACTTTGTATAAAGTATTCTCAGCTTTGTCCAGTAATGTCATGATCATGCTTCTCTCTCTCTCTCTCTCTCAAAATTACTATATAAGGAAACTCATCACCAGTCTCAATCACAACCACACCATCTGTTCTATCTACACTGTCTCATTCAGTACTTCTCTGTGAACTCAGCTTAATTAGAAGAAAGAGTGACGTAAATGGCGACACCGAGAGAACACATAGAAGAGATAAGGAAGAAAAAGTTCTCCATAGGAGCAGATGCACTCAACCCTTTAACTGAGGATCTTCACCAGGCTATCAAGAATCTCTCTGCTGAACTCTATGCCAAAGATGTTCACTTCCTCATGGAACTCATCCAGGTTATTTATTTTATATATACATTCCTACATATCATGACTTAAGTTTGGTGTTAAGGTTAGTGCGTAGTCTTGGAATCTTTTGAATCTCTAATCTTGTGTGTGTGCATACATATATATACTGAGTATATATTTGTCAGTCTATTTGAATATATAATTTAATGGTTAATACTACTTACTTTACAGAATGCAGAAGATAATGAGTACGTAGAGGGGGTTGATCCATCACTTGAGTTTGTCATTACATCCCGGGATATAACAGCCACGGGGGCTCCTGCCACATTGCTGGTTTTCAACAATGAGAAAGGATTTTCTCCTGAAAACATAGAATCCATTTGCGGTATTGGACGGTCCACCAAGAAAGGCAACAGGAATCGCGGTTATATTGGGGAGAAAGGTGTGTGTACATCATCAGTACATGACATCTATATTAATTCTGATTGTTTTTTAATTATTTGAAATTATTATTTTTTATTTTTCATATCTCTGCTTTAGTTAGAACATTAGCCTTGTGAAGTTGTGATCACAATGTTAAATAAAATAATGTCACAGCTGATTTTTAAAGCTTTAGGCTTTCCAAAAATGTACGCAGCTTCACAGAATTTGGCGACTTTACTCAAAATCTACGTTCTCAACATGTTTGGTTAAGCTTTATTTTGACTCGAGAAACAGGCATATGTTTATTTTGACTCAAAATTTCTCTTAAACAGGAAAACCTTCAATGCGTGTGAGGAGAAATCGGGGGCCCATCTCTTCTTTTGTTTTTTCATCAACATATAAATGCAATTTTCCTTCTCAAACCCTAACTCTGACACAAGCCGTCTTCCAGTCCCTCTCTCTCTCTCTCTCTCTCGCTCAGACATAACCCGCGACCTCTCTTCTTCTTCAATCTTCATCTCTTTCTCGCTCATAGCACCATCGTGATCTCGTCCCTGACCTTGGAGATTCCAAACTGGCGTTTTTTATTTCTAGGAGCAGCACCCGCCTAGACCGCCTAGCGCCTGCCCAGCTCCTGCCTAGACAGCCTAGCGCCTGCCTAGCGACCGCCTAGCCCGCCTAGCCTGCCTAGCGACCCCCTAGCCCGCCCAGCCCCCGCCTAGGCAATTTATTCAGTAATATTAACAATATGAGTGACAGTGTGTTCAAGGATATAGCTTCTAAAGAAGATTTCCGAGAATTGGAAAAGAAAGAGATGATGCTTACATTGTTCCCACAACCTTGTGAGTATTTGCTAGACTCTGTGTGCCCTGAACGATATGTGCCAATCCAAAATCTGAAACTTTTGGGTTCACATTCTCATCCAAGAGAATGTTACTGACCACAATGTTAAATAAAATAATGTCACAGCTGATTTTTAAAGCTTTAGGCCTTCCGAAAATGCACGCAGCTTCACAAAATTTGGCGACTTTACTCAAAATCTACGTTCTCAACATGTTTGGTTAAGCTTTATTTTGACTCGAGAAACAGGCATATGTTTATATAGCTTCTCCAAGAATATTTTGCTCTTGTTTATGTTAAGTTCTGAGTTAAGCTCTTGTCTGTTCGAATGCCTATAAGCACATTGATGTTCTCAGATGTGCCTTTTCGTTTTGTGTTGTTTAACCAAATTTGTGATTAATATACAGGAATTGGGTTCAAAAGTGTGTTTCTCATCACTGCACACCCTTATGTTTTCAGCAATGGATATCAAATAAGGTTCAGTGAAGATCCCTGTGTGCATTGCAATCTCGGGTACGTAGTTCCTGAATGGGTTGATACAAACCCTAATTTGTCTGACATAAAACAGTTATATGCTTCTGCTTCTGCTTCTGATCCTCCCACCACAACACTGATCTTACCTCTAAAGGCTGACAAGGTCCAGCCTGTGAAGCAGCAGCTCTCAAGCATACACCGTGAGCTTCTGTTGTTTCTTTCAAAGATTAAGAAGCTCTCAGTCAGGGAAGACAATGGCGATCCAAGTCTTGACACAGTAAGTGCAATTGAGATAGCAAGTGAGACAAACTTTGTGACCAGAAAGAACATTGATGCGCAGTCCTACACCGTCCATCTCTCTGCAGAAGAAAGTAGCAATGCGGTTGAAAATGAATGCAGCTATTATATGTGGAAGCAGAAGTTTCCTGTCAAGCAAGACTGCAGAGATGAGAAGAGAATGGAGGTAGATGAGTGGGTGATCACGGAGAACAACTTCATAGAGGAAGAAGCTCACCCGGGGTCTATGCCTTCCTTCCAACCGAGATGGTGACAAACTTTCCCTTCATAATTCAAGCTGATTTTCTTATTGCATCATCAAGGGAAACAATTCTCCTGGACAACATATGGAATAAGGGTATTCTTGATTGTGTGCCCACTGCATTTGTTAATGCATTTATCTCACTTGTTAGATCCGTTGAAGATGCTCCAGTGTCTAGTTTGCATCGTATATTCAAGTTTCTGCCTGTCCAGAGCTCTTCCTATGAAGCATTGAATGTTATCAGAGAGTCGATAAAGGCAAAACTTGTTGAAGAAAACATTGTCCAGGAAAACTTCTGAATTCCGATTACCCTTCTGACTAGTTATGTATATGTGGTTGCACTTGTTGATGATTTTTTAACTATATTTTGTTTTGGTTTATGTACTTTTGTCTGTTGGAATCTCTTGTCATTCTGAACAAGTTATTGCTCTTTTATGTATGAAGCAGACTATCATCCGGTATTTTATGAACCGTTTTCTAATAGATATGTCAATATTTTTATTTCTACCGATCTTTCATTACTTTGGATTATGTTTCTACCGGAGGTGAGACTTTGTGACGTATTGCTTGGTTGTTAACATAATGGTCCTAATAGATTTTCGTTTTATGGAAAGATTTCTCCCTTGCATTGAAGTTTACTGAGTCTATGACAAGAGGTTTTAAGTTAGCTGAAAGGTTATGAAAAACGCGCAATCTGTTCATAGAGTTAGCGAGTTCTTGGTGCCACTGAATTATCTGCAATTCCAAGCCTATATCTTTGAAAAGAAAGGAAAATTGATATATAATAAAGAATGAGATTAAATTATGTTAAAATTATATTTAAGCAGTAGGCACACGCATAATGAAGTATTCACCGGAGATAATAACATGGAGAATTGTAAATATCCCCATTACTGGCTGAATGAATAGCAATTTTCCACATCCTTGCAGCATCTAAATGGAGAGGTGTGTTGCGTTAAAAAAAATTATATTCAATACCTTGGACAACTTTTGTTCCACCAAATACAGCCCAACTTTGTTTTGCCATCCGAAACAGCGATATGTAGAGCAGTGTACCCCGCTTTGATTATCTTCACCTCTTGAACTTTGGAACTCTGTGATGATCTATAGACCTCCACAGCCTTTCCCAGCGGCCTTTCATGGAATTTTCCAACAGGCTATAGGTCAGTTTCTCCTGTGAAACCATTGCATTTCTAAACATGCCATAGGCACTTCCTCCTTTGAAACCGTTCCATTTCCACCTCTGTTATCCATGTCTGGCCTCTTTCTCTAGCTAGTCTATAAGTTAAGTGAAATATATATAGCAAAGCAAGCAATTAAATTGTCGACTCTGATAGTGCATCACCATATGATATTAACTTTTTTATCTGTGTGAGTTGTGTGCTTTTGTCAATGGGATTCTCTTGTGATTAATAATCTGTTATTATGGCTTGTTCATTATGAATATTGCATACTCATAATTATCCCTCTTATGGAAAGGGAAGGGTTTCAATCATTCAATCAGAGTGGCCCACATGAGGCGATATTTTTTCTTCATTGCATTATCTCTCCACTTTGGTCTCCTAATTTTGACAATTCAGTTCTATAATTTCCTTAGATACCAATCAAGTCCTACAAATGTAACATGGTTTAGGAAGAACAGACGAAATGTTCACGTTTTGGATTGATTGCAAATATTTTGGAGAGACAAAAGTCTCCTCATGTGTGGTAGTTATACATATTGTCACATTGATGATTTTCATCAATTAATTTGACAGAGATTACAAGCTTGGACTTGATTGTAAGCCAACTAAACTACATGACTAAAATTGCCAAACCTGAAATGGCAGGGCTCAATGTGGGAAATTAGTCAAATTACATGGACCAAAAATATTGAGATAATTTCACACTCAACATATTCAAATTGTTCGAAAAATATGCTATATGGATTAAGTAGCAGATTGCTTATTTGCAAAATCTAAGGTTGTAGACACATAGTCATAAATTCTGAATGGTTGAATATTTATCTTCGTAACGTTGGAATATGTCGCATCCTCTCTCTCTCTCTCTTGATCAAAGAAAGAAGTTTTTAAAGATCAGATCTCGTATTCCTCTTTGGTTTTCTAGCATGCATGAACCTTAATTTCCTACATTATGCACAACTTGTATATATTTAATTTGCTTTCACTTTGTTTAATCTTATGTTCTTCATTCTTAATTCGAAGTAATTTAATTACTTCTTTGGACATGGAGTGTATGAAAACACCGGGAAGGAAGGAATTGTGCAAAGTTGACACCCTCATAATTGTGTAGTCCTTTGTTATTGGTAAACTTAATGGCACAAAGCTCTACAGAAATCAAGGCCGTCTTGTGTGGAATCTAATTCGAATCCAAATTTAATCCATACCATGCTTGATCCGAATCATAATCCAAAATCATACTCGAAGCAGAGTATTTTTGGGTTGATTCGATGATCCAAACCCAACTATTGTTTTTATAAGCTACTAAATCCAGAACTCTATCCAACAAAACAAAAGATTATAAGCTACTAAAACACCAAAATATAATAAAAATTTCATAAAACTACAAACACAAAGCAAACAACAGAACATACAAGAGAAAAAAAAAGCTTAAGCCAAAGCCAAAACCAAAGGCTAGCAAGCCAATATGCATAATAGAAGGACAATGCTCCCATCCCACCGGGACTGGCTATCTATTTGCGGCGATGGTCTCTGAAATAGCCTCCAGGGTTACACTCAAAGTCAGCCCTACGGATTCGTTCAAGTCCGCCGGTGCCCGGAGCAATCATCATCTCCTCCTCCTGCTCAGAATCTGAACCTGAACCTAAACCTGAAGCCAGACTAAATATACCATAGGCCAGCAAAGCCGCTCCTGCCACAGCGCCAGTTGCAATTGCAGCAGCAGTGGACCAGCCAACCTTGTCCTTACGCAAGTCACCACCATTTTTCTCATTTCGTTTTTTGATGCGACCATTTTCCTTACTGTTTCCAGAGCCTTCCCTGCTTTCACTCGGTCCCATTTTTTCACTATACAATCCAATCCAAACTCTGCTTGGTTTTGGACGGGACGGTGCGTGGCTATATATATGTATATATTAACAAAGGTGTTTAGATTCTCAAAGACGACTCAAGGACTTGGTGGTCGAATCAGCGTCCAAAGCTCATGCTTTTCGTACAAATCTCACTCATATTACCACTACCTCAAAGGTTTTTCCTTCACTTTCTTCTTTATACTAGATTAGTTATACACCTTTAATTTCAATGAGGTTTGCCTTTCATTATACTAGATAAGTTTACCTTTCATTTCAATAATGTTTGTTTGGTTTTCTTCTTTTGATTTTCTTTTTCTTCCTTCATTGAGAAGGAAGGTTACCTTTCCTCTTTTTGCATTGAATCGTTAACCTTCAACACTTATAAGTTTTATTTGTTACCCGAGTTCAACAACCATTTTGATCAAAAACCCTTGTTTACTAATATACTATTGTTCATGTGAGAAATAATTGAGTGATATCGTATGCTAGTGATACTTTCACTTAAATTTTGTGTGATGGAGTTTACGATTTAGACTTAGACCACATGATTAAATTTGCCAAAATTGAAATGACATGGTAATTGAGCCCCAAAAAAAATTAACAAAAAACTCTACAGATTGAGATAATTTCACACCCAAACTATTCAAATATTGTTCAAAAAATAAATTATATGCATTAAGTAATTGTGTGACAAACTATATATAGGATTACTATACGAATTTTTATTTTCCTATATTCTTACTTCCCTCCCAAGGAAGGGAAGAGTTGATGGTTGAAGACTTATTTCAAACGGCTTACTAAATAAATCTCATCCCGTGTCTAAAGTAATCTCATCAATTACTTTGTCTAAAGTATTCCCAGCTTTTTCTAAAGTAATTTCATCAAGATTTTTTCTATTTAAACCCCGCACTTCTCTTTGTTCACCCCATATTTTCATTCCAACTTCTAATTCAAATTTTCACAATTTCTAAGAAAACCCACACCCCACACCCGAATCCTAAGATCTTCAAGTCCATCTTGCAGTTTTCATACCAGCATTTTGCAGGCATTACTGCATCATTATTCTTTTGCACTCAAATTTTTTTTAAAATTTTTTATAAAATTTTTCAATTTTTTTTTGTAGAACAGGTTCTATAATTTTTCAATGTAACATAGTGTGATAAATATTTTACACGTAATAGCTACAAGTGTAGTCATTCTTCATCAAGAATTTTGTTCTGCTTTGGAAAACGAATCTGGCACAAGGTATTTTGATGTATATTTTCTTATTATATATATGTTGTACATGGATGCAATAAACACTATGTTTATATTATTGAGAGCATTCTGTCAATCTAGGAGATAATGCCCTAAATTGAGGGCATTATGTTTATATATGTTTATATGTTGTACATGTATGCAGTAAACACTATGTTTATATTATTGAGGGCATTATGTCAATTTAGGAGATCAATAAAAACAGCAAGCAGAAGTGTTGGGCCGTGGGCGTCGAAGAAATCTGTTAATAAAAGAAAGAGAGGGAGAGAGAGGTGAGGAAGGAAGGCAAAGCCAGAGGAATTTGTAATATCCACTCCCTCCCTATCCACCTATATTACTCTCACAATCCCAATTTAGGGTTTGTGAAGAGAAGATGAGTATAGTAGGTTTCTTGGATTGAAATATGAGTAATCTGGCAATAGGGTGTAGAAGAGTTTATGTTTTTCTAAAATTTAATATGAAGAGTGGTGAGGTGTGTGGGGATGTGTGTATAGATGTACTAGGGTTAAGCATTAAGTCTTTTTTTGTCTTTTTACACAATAATAGAACTTAAAAGCTTAGTGATTTAAGTATTGGGGTGAACAAAGAAAAATGTAGGGTTTAAATAGAAGAACTCTTTCATCAATATCAATAACCTTTTATTTTTTGGGGTAAAAATCAATATCAATAAATTTCTCTCTCTCAAAAGTAATCAAACTCATCACCAATCTCACAGTCACAACCACACCATTTGTTCTACTACTGTCTCATTCAGCACTTCTCTCTAAACGAAGACCTAAAAAATAAATAGTTTGGATTGTTGAAAAAAAATTTGTAGGGTTATCCTAAAGGATGTCCCTCAAATTAAATTATTTGAGGAATCCCTCAATAGAAGGGGACTGATATATATACAGAAATTCTCCTATGCGGACGTTCGGATGTTATTACCATGCAGACGCCATGTATTTTCTACCACCCCTCCCTACTTTCCTATTTACAATTTGGCATCTGTACGGCAATAATGTGCAGACAACCGGATGAGAGAGGATAATTTAATGGTAATGAGTACGCAGAGGGGCTCCTGCCACATTGCTGGTTTTCAACAATGAGAAAGGATTTTCTACTAAAAACATATAATGCATTTGCAGTGTTGACGGTCCACCAAAAAATGCAACAGGAATGGCGGTTATATTGGGCACACACATACACTGAATTATTCAACAGAGATAACATGGAGAATGGTGGAATATATCACCATTACTGGCTCTGAATGAATAGAAATTTTCCACATCCTTGCAGCAGCTAAATGGAGAGGTTTGTTGCCTTTAAAAACATTTATGTTCAATACCTTAGACAACTTTTGTTCCACCAAATACAGCACGACTTTGGTTTTGCCATCCGAAACAGCGATATGTAGCAGTGTTCCCCACTTTGATTATCTTCACCTCTTGAACTTTGGAACTCTGTGATGATCTATAGACCTGCGCAAACTTTTCCGATGGCCTTTCATGGAATATTCACGAACAGGCTATATGGGTCAGTTCCTCCTGTAAATCCATTGCATTTTTTGACATTCCATAGGCAACTTCCTCCTTCAAAACCATTCCCATTTCCACCTATGTATCCATGTCTCGCCTCTTTCTCTAGCCAGTCTATAAGTTATGTGATATATAGATAGTGCATCATCATATGATATGAACTTTATCTGTGTGAGTATTGTGCTTTTGTCAATGGGATTGTCTTGTGATTCTGAATAGGTTCTTCTTTTTGTAATATATATCAGCTGCTAGATTGCTAAATATGGCTTGTTCATCAATATTGCATACTAATGAGAGGGAAGGGTTCTCAAATTCAATCAAGGAGAGTGACCCACATGAGGAGATGATTTTTTTTCAATTGCATATTATCTCCACTTTGGTCTCCATCATTTTAATTTTGACGATTCAGTTCTAATTTTTTTTTTACATACAAATCAAGTGCTACAAATGCAAAATTGTTCAGGAAAAACAACGAATTATCATGTTTTGGATTGATTGCAAATATTTTGGAGAGACGAAAGTCTCCTCATGTGTGGTAGTTACATATTGGCACATTGAATTTCATCAATTAATTTGACAGAGATTACATCTTGTACTTGATTGCAAGCCAAACTAAATTAAACTACATAACTAAAATTGCCAAAATGGAAATGATAGGGTTCAATGTGGGAAATGAGTTAAATTACATGGACCAAAAAATGTACCCTAGTGGCGTTAAGGTTACAAAATTGTTGTGAAGAATTCTCCATAATTTAGCAGATCACAAATTTTCCATCTCCATGCCTGTTCATGCATTGTAGACATAGTCATAAATTAATTCACAATATTGAAATTTGAGAAGATGAAGCCTTCCTTCATCTACTTTTGTCCCTTGGAAATTGAAACGGAGAAAAAACGCCTTACATTCTCAAGAAAGACCAAAAGACTACTCGGTATCAGCTTTGTCTAAAGTAATCTCATCCCATGCATTAATTGAAACTCATCAATATCAATAAACTTCGATCTCTCAAATATAATCAAACTCATCCCCACAGTCACCACCACACCATCTCTTCTATCTTATCTTTCTCATTCAGTCATTCTCTGCGAACTAAGCTTAGTTTGAAGAAGAGACGCAAATGGCGACACCGAAAGAGCACGTAGAAGAGATACGAAAGAAAAAGTTCTCCATAGGAGCAGAAGCAATCAACCCTTTGACTGAGGATCTTCACCAGGCTGTCAAGAATCTCTCTGCTGAACTCTATGCCAAAGATGTTCATTTCTTAATGGAACTCGTCCAGGTGAGTTGTTTTATGCATATATACATTCCTAATATATCATGGCTTTTATTAGTTTGCTGTTAAGGTTGAGTGCATGGCATTGTCTTAGAATCTTTTGAATCTCTAATACTTTAGTGCGTGTGTATATATGAGTATGTCTGAGTATATATTTTTCAGTCTATTTGAATATGTAATTTAATGGTTAATCATGCTACTTACTTTACAGAATGCAGAAGATAATGAGTACGCAGAGGTGGTTGATCCATCACTTGAGTTCCTCATAACGTCTCGGGATATAACGGGCACAGGGGCTCCTGCCACATTGCTGGTTTTCAACAATGAGAAAGGATTTTCTCATAAAAACATAGAATCCATTTGCAGTGTTGGACGGTCCACCAAAAAAGGCAACAGGAAGCGTGGCTATATTGGGGAGAAAGGTATGTCTTATATAGATGTTTGATTTTGACTGTAATCAATCTTAACATGCTTTATATATGAAAGAAAAATATTTGCATGTTATATGTAGATGCTTGGAAGCTAAAGGAAAAAATACTACTGCGTTGAAACATACCCATGTTTTTGTTCAAATCTGAATCAAGCTGTTGTTGCCTATTTGGTTGCCTATAAGCATGTTGATGTTCCTTGAAGCGCTTTTTCATTTGTGTAGTTTATGTATCTCCATGATTTTTGCTGATTCAATTAAATTTGTGACTAATATACAGGAATTGGTTTTAAAAGTGTGTTTCTCATCACTGCACATCCTTATGTGTTTAGTAATGGTTATCAAATAAGGTTTAGTGAAGATCCTTGTGTGCATTGCAATCTTGGGTACATAGTTCCTGAATGGGTTGATACAAACCCTAATTTGTCTGACATAAAACAGTTATATGGTTCTGCTTCTGCCCTTCCAACAACAACATTGATCTTACCTCTAAAGCCCGACAAGGTCCAAGCAGTGCAGCAGCAGCTGTCAAGCATGCACCCTGAGGTTCTGTTGTTTCTTTCAAAGATTAAGAGGCTCTCAGTCAGGGAAGATAATGAGGATCCAAGTCTCAACACTGTTAGTGCTATTGAGATAGCGAGTGAGACTGACTTTGTGACGAGGAAGAACATCGATGCACAGTCCTACACCCTCCATCTCTCTGCAGAAGAAAGTGGTAATGTGTTTGAAAATGAATGCGGCTATTATATGTGGAAGCAGAAGTTTCCTGTCAAGCAAGACTGCAGAGATGAGAAGAGTCACCCTTGCATTTCCAATAGGAGAACGCCTTTGCAGAGGAATGAACACTTCTTCTGGGATCTATGCATTCCTTCCAACTGAGATGGTGACAAATTTTCCCTTCATAATTCAAGCTGATTTTCTTCTTGCATCATCAAGGGAAACAATTCTCCTGGACAACAAATGGAATAAGGGTATTCTTGATTGCGTGCCCACTGCATTTGTTAATGCATTTATCTCGCTTGTTAGATCTATTGTAGATGCTCCTGTGTCTAGTTTGCCTCATATGTTCAAGTTCCTGCCTGTCCAGAGCTCTTCCTATGAAGAATTTAATGTTGTCAGGGAGTCTATAAAGGCAAAAATTGTTGAGGAAAGCATTGTCCCTAGTGAGCCCCACAAGGAGCAGAAGTTCTTTTACAAACCTCGTGAAGTGAGTAGGTTGATGCCTTCTTTTTGGAATATTTTGAGGAAGGCGGTGGATCAAGGGGTAAGTTTGATTAATCTCTCATCTCATGGAAGATATGTTCTGTCATATTCATTTGACAAGGTCGAGTATGATCACATACTGAGTTTCCTGGGAGTTGAACCGGTAGACAATGAATGGTATGCTAAATGCATCCAGGGTACTTCCAATCTTGTAACTGGGGTGTCGGATGTTGTCTACTTGGAGCTTCTTCTGTTTATTGCTGATAATTGGGGGTCCAAATTTTGCCGCTCTAGCATCAAGAACATATCCTTAATTAAATGTGTGGGGAATGGAATTAAATCTTTGTGCAGCATAAGTGCAATCCAGAATAGTCGAAGTAAAGTTTGCCTATCCATTAATTCTTGTCATGTCTCATGGCTGATTGATTGGAACTGCGAGTTTATATCCGTTGCTAGCCTTCTTTTTATGCCAAAAATCACACAGGAAGCTATCTGGTCGTGTTCTCGGAAGGAGACATTGGTGAAATGGCTTTCGGATCAAGTCAAGGTCTGTTCTGTAAGCCTATATGAATATGCAGTTGATCTCTTTGACAAGTCACTTAATGAGAGGAAGCTTGTTATTGCAATTGCCCACTTTTTGTATCAGTCATTGTGCAAAAGTTACATGTCAGATCGAGAAGTTGATAAATTATGCAGAATTATGCCTCTGGTGGATAAGTATGGGAGCATCATCAAAGATAGGGCTGGGGTTATTGTCCCTGCCAATGGAAGCAAATGGGCGGGGTTAACTGATTCTAATATGTGGAGAAAAGAAGGCTATGTTGAGTTAAGAGAAGATTATTTGGATTCAGGTCGTTTTGCTGGTAACTTTACACCACAGAAGAAGCTCCTTGAGTTTCTTAAAGTTCATGCTGGAGCTTTGGATGTCCCTTATATATCTGCCCCAAGTGATGGTATATCATCATTATCTGGTCAACTTACTAAGCAAAATACATTTTTGCTTTTGGACTGGATTCATCACCTCATGTATCAAGGTGTTCGAATCCCACAGAAGTTCTTGACGTGCATAAAAGATGGGGGCTGGCTGAAAGTTACTTTGAATGGCTCTTCTGGTGTCAGGCCACCTTCACAGTCATTCCTACTTAAGTCATCATGGGGAAACATTTTGTGGGATGGCTCCGTTTTTGTTGATATCCCATTGATTGATCAGAGTTATTATGGTGAGAGAATTAATAGTTACAAGGACGAGCTGAAAAAGATTGGAGTCAGGTTTGAGTATGCTGAAGCATGTGAATATATGGGGAAGCATCTAATGTCTCTTGCTTCGTCTTCCACTCTAACCCGAGACAATGTACTTTCTGTGCTACGTTTCATCAAGTTTTTAAGAGACAAGTATCTTTCCCCAGACGATTTTATCTGCAGTATTAAAGAAGGCCAGTGGCTTAAAACATCCCTTGGCTTCAGGTCTCCGGTAGGATCAGTCTTGTCTGATAAAGAGTGGGAAATTGCATCAAAAGTAAGTGACATTCCCTTTATCAATAAAGCATTCTATGGTGGTGAAATATGTAAATTCAAAACAGAACTTGAGTTGCTTGGTGTGGTTGTCTCCATCAGCAAAAGTTACCAGCTTATAATTGACAACCTGAAATCACCTTCTCGCTTAACTTCTCTGCCAGCTGAGGCTGTTCTATTGATGCTTGAATGTATGCAGCTTTCCAGTTCATCTGAGAAACTTGTCAGAGCATTGAAAGAAATTAAGTGCCTGAAGACAACAGTTGGTTACAAGTCTCCAAAGGAATGTCTCCTGCCCCAACTTGAATGGGGCTGCATTCTGCAGGTATTCAGTGGTCTCCCATTGATTGATCACAATTTCTATGGAAAAGGAATATATTCCTACAGAAATGAGTTGAAGAAAACAGGGGTGGTTGTTGATTTTGATGAGGCTGCAAAAGTATTTGCTCTCTATTTCAGGCAGTATGCATCATCGGCTTCCATCACCAAAGAAAATGTTGCATCTTTTCTGTCCTGTTACAGAACGCTGAAGGGAACTCCATTTAAATTATCTGCAGATCTTAAGAGCTGCATTCGCGAGGTAAAGTGGTTGCGTACTCGCCTTGGTGATTATAGATCTCCAAAAGAGTGCATTCTGTTTTGTTCTGATTGGGAATCTATCTCTCCCATATGCCTTCTCCCTTTTATTGACGATTCTGACACTTGTTATGGCAAGAAAATTCATGAATATAAGCAAGAGCTGAAGAGCTTGGGGGTTGTTGTGGAATTCAAGGATGGGGTCAAGTTTGTGCCTTCTTGTCTTTATCTTCCCCAGAATCCGAGCTGCATTTCTCGAGAAAATGCACTTGCTTTGCTGGACTGCATACATATTTTATTGGAGGAGAAAGATTACTCCTTTCCTGATGTGTTCACGAAGAAAGTTTCTCAGGCATGGCTGAAGGCTCACGATGGTTACAAGCCTCCAAGCAAGTGCTTGTTGTTTGATTCCGAGTTTGGTAAGTATCTAAGGCAGACTGATGGACCTTTCATTGATGAAGAGTTTTATGGTTCTAAAATTACAACATACAGAAAAGAGCTCTCTGCAATATGGGTGATTGTTGAAGTTGACAAAGGATGTCCTTTGATTGCCAGCCAGCTTGCTCTTCATGATGAATTGTCCACTTTTGTTCGAGTATATAGTTACTTGAGTGAGTTTAAGTGGGAGCCGGATAGCAAGGCTGACAAAAGGATCTGGTTTCCAAAGGGAAATCAGAATGGAGAGTGGGTTAATCCAGAAGAGTGTGTTATATATGACAAGGATGAGCTGTTTGGCTTGCAGTTGACTGTTCTGGAGAAATACTTTGAGCATAACCTATTGGTGTTCTTCTCCCGTGCTTATGGGGTAAAGTCCTGTCCTTCAATTGAAGACTACTGCAGGCTGTGGAAGGTGTGGGAAAATTTTGAAAGTGGATTGTTGCATGATCAATGTTGCAAATTCTGGGGGTATGTTTCAAAGCACTGGAATTCAAAAACGGAGAAAACTCTTGCTGAGGCTTTGGTGAAAGTACCTGTTAATTCAGGCTCCGCTGGAATCTTGTTGTGCAACAAGGAAGATGTTTTCATTGCTGATGACCTTCAGCTGCAGTATCTTTTTGAACAGTCTTCTCACCATGTTTTTGTTTGGTACCCTCAGCCTAGCCTGGCTTCCTTGCCTAGGACTAAGTTGCTTGAAATTTACAGGGAAATTGGTGTTCGTACTATCTCTGAATCAGTGCAGAAGGAAGAACTATTCCTAGCAAATGATGTTGAACTACAGTTAATTCCAACAGAGAAATTGATCGGGAAAGCGCTGCTCAGGCTGATACTTGGTTTTCTAGCTTGTCCTCCCATTAAAATGGAAGCAGAGAAAAGGCAAAAAGCTGTCCGAGGTCTTGCCAATGTTGCTGTTGTGGAGACATCTGAACCAATCACTGTAAGCTATGATCTACCATTATCTTCTGGGAAAATTTTGAATGTGAGAGGTAGCCGAAAGGTACGATGGGATAGAGAAGATTCCAAAATTTTCACCGAGAAGATGGACAGATCTGGAGGATATAGGAGCATCATTGAGTTTGCTACATATTTCTCTGAAGCAATTTCTGAGTTTGTACTGTGGGAGATCCCTGATCATATACATGCACTTTCTGAGCTGATCAAGTTGGCCTTTGTGCTAAACCTTGATGAGGAAGCAGTTACTTTCTTGATGAAGTCCAAGAATTTGCAGATCTTCGTGGAGGATGAGGAGTTTCTGAATTCAGCCTACCATTCTGAGTAGTTATGCTATGTGGTTACAATTATAATAGTCTCTCAGATGATGATTTGAACTATATTTTGTTTTGGTTGTATGCTTTTGTCTGTTGGATTCTCTTGTTATTCTGAACAAGTTATTGCTCTTTTATGATATGAAGCTTATTCTATCATCTGGTATTTTCATAATCGTTTACCTTCATCTGGTATTTTTTTATTGTTAAAGATATTTCTCACTACTTCGGATTCTCTACCAGAGGTGAGATTTTTGACATACTGCTTGGTTGTTAGCATAATGATCCTTGACTTACAAGTCCTAATAGATTTTAGTTTGATGGAAAAAATTATGCCCTGCATTGAAGTTACTGAGACTTTCTCAGACTTTCCTAAGATAATCTTTCATTGCATTTAGCAGTTTTTAGTAAGCTGAAAGGAGCTTAATCAAATTATCTCTTCAACTTAAAACTCTGTCATATTGTTCTTATCTTGCAAATCTGTTAGAACATGTTTGTCATTAGGAGAAATTGCACTACAAGTTCTTAAGAAATTGGAAATGTTTAACTAATCTAGCGGCCTGAGATATTGCTAATATACTAAATGTGGTCGTACATTAAATTTTTTGTTTGATTTCTTTGTACATAAGGTCACTTTTAGATTGCCATGCCTTATCAAAATCACAATATACATGCTATGCAGAGTGAACTCAACTCAACATTGTGTTAGATTTTATCTGCAAATGCGACCATAGAGGAAAAAGCTTGTCAACAGTACAAGTGCAATGCGTGTAATAACAATGTACATCTGCTGATTACATTGGGACACAAATTTTGATCTGATAAACTTTCTACCTTTGCAAAAAGGACATGACTTATAAGTCATGGCCTAGAAATTACAGGAAAAAGGAAATCCCAATGGCCAAGTACAATAAATAAGATGGAAGGAAAAAGATGAAAAATACTCTCTCTTCCTGCTCATTCCTCTTAGCTAACGCTTCTGCCCTTGTGCAGCTCCATCCTGCACAACAATATAGGTGCCGTCCCTCCCTGCAATGGTAAGAGATAAGTGGAATATGGGGTTGGCAATTTCGAACCCGAGGCCTCTTGGCTTCTTGGAACCAAGCTTTCAGGGAATGGATCAACAATGTATATCAAGCCTCCCAGTTCCTGATGCAATCATGTGGCTGCAGATTTCTTAGCAGCTACATAGGTGGTTCTGTCGTGGCCACCAGTGCAACCTGCGTAGTAGCATCCTTTAACGTTCAATAGATTCTTTACAGTGTTTGGTCTGAGTGCATTTTTTATTCTTCTTCTTCTCCTTCCTTTCTGTTTTGTCTTTGTGTCCTGGACCTGAAACATGAAATGAAACACTTAGAGAACAGAAAACCAATCTTTTTACTGCTTATATTATAACAAGGCTAATTAATTAATTAATCAAAGAACTCATAGGATATTTACATCGTTGGTTTCAATCATCGACCTTACGCTATCAACACTGCTGTCGGCAGACTCAGCACTTGGTGATTTCTTATGCTTGAAATCCTCATCTGTGATGTCGTTCTTACCTGCATTACATCAATTCCACAACTGATCATTTTTCTTGTCCATGAAGGAATATTCTACAAATTACATGCACCCCAATTTCTATGTTGCAACTTACTGTCATCATTTTCTATTTCCAGAGGTTCCATGCAATAAACTCTGAAACTTGGTGACGCCTGACACAGATAGATTTTGCTGTTCGGTTGCATGCCCGCATCATTAACTTCATCCTCTTCCTCTTCCTCTCCCTCTGTGGTTTCCTCCATTGCAAAAACCCCCCCTATATACACTGTCACCCCCTTGGCCTCTTTATCATCTTCCACACTAAACTCCGCTCCATCTCTCCTGATCTGGTCCTCATCAGACTGTTTTGTTCCTCTGTCAAGCTCTGGCAATCTTGGTACCAACTCCAATGTTGGTGGTGTTTCAGGAGATGGTAAATTTTCAAACTCTGGTGAAGACTGCAGCGAATGAGGCAGAGAGATATCTACCTCTTCTTGTTCACCATCCTTAAGTAGCTGTTTCTTGGAGTAAGTGTGGGAGGCTTTTAGTTTTTTTGCCTTTGTCCGGCCTCTGATCTCCTCAAATTTTCTCTGCAAGAGTGAACGAATTCGAGGAGGCACAGCTTCACCTTCTGGGGTGAGCTTTGAGTTTTGGCCACCCATTGGAGAGGAGAACAATGGGAGGTTAGGCCACAATGGCAGGGGGAAGAGATGCAGAAGATAAGTGGTTAGAAAAAACTTATGAGGTAGAATGGAGAATTTGAAAGAGAAGGGTCAAAGGGAGTTAAATAATTATAGGATAAACTTGATGCTAATAAAAAAATTCATAATATGGATATATTTGGTTTGGTGAACTGTACACTACGGTTTTAGATTTGCTTGTGGTTAATAATAGCAAATTGTTGGTGTTTTGCAAACTCAGCTCTGACTATGAATCTCCTATATTTGTGAACTTTCAATTTTTCCAGTTGTGCCCTCCTGCCTGTCATGATCAAACAAACTTACTATATTTGTAGTTGTGTACATGTTTTGCTGTTTCTTTCTTTGTTTTGCTTTTGCTTTTGGTTTTGGGGCCATGTATTTCGGTTGTTAAAAGAGTCTTGCGCAGTGCCTTAGCAAGAGTCAAAGGAGAAATGTATGCCAGCTCCTGTTTATCTCTGCCAACCATATGTGCCAGCTTCAACAAAATCTCAAGAGCCTCAAATCATAGCATTCTTCTGACCTCTCTGAGCTCTAAACAGAACAGATAATTAAGATGGCTACAACTACAAGTCCAATTTCATTGCAATTTCATTGCAATGCAAATATAATGTGAATGAGCCAATTTCCGAATAATTAAAGAGAAAACCCTAATTATATGGATCATTTGCTCATTTAGTGGTATTTCTCTTCTCAATGTTGAAAGAGGTCTCAAGTTCAAATTTTGCCTATCTCGTTGATAAAAATAGAATAATAGAAAATTAGCTTTAGGTTTGTTCTTCATGACATTGAAAAGACTTGTTGTGTGCCCCTTAGACAAAGAAATTGACTTTGTATCAATTAAGCAAGGAATCCAAACAAAAATCTTCATACGTTTATTTACTTATTTTTGTGTAAATGCTTATTTTTCTTTCAACTTTTAAAACAAGGAAAGAAGCTGAAATCAACCCATGTGCGCGCCCACATTCTAGGTGGGGCTAGCTTTCATTTTGGACCCGGTTCTCTCCAAAAAGGACTTTTCTTTATGCGAAGTTGATATATGCTTTGCTTCTTTTCTTCCTTCTCTCTTATCATGGTGACCCCTTTGAAAAATCAATTGCCTTTATGAGTGAAAAGCTAGAGATTCCTGTGGCAATAATCCCTACCCCTTACCTTTTTTACCATCTCAGCTTCAAACAAGGATGCTAAGCATTAGGTTCATTTTAAAAGTTACCAATTACATCCACCAATATCTTAAGAGCACTAGGGTTTGTGGAAGTACTTTAATATCTTCACAAAGAAAAAGAAGATTCATTTCCTTTTATGGACTTGGAACATAAAATCATTCTAGAAGAGAAAAGTTTATATATTACTGCTACATTAACATGATCAAAACTTAGTGCACCCGCTGATTTCTTCTTCATCACCTGCTCCACTTGAAGAAGTTACTTCTGTGATCCCACTAGAACTTGAGCAAGATGAAGAAGATGACACAGGACTTTGATTATTATTAGTCTGAGGTGCATGAACCATTTCAGCATTGTTAACTCTGATGCCTTTCTCATCATCAGTCTTACAACTTCTTTTCTTCGAAAATATTCGACACAGAACCCAATTTTCTTTCTGGTTTAAAGCATTCTGTAGAAAATCACAAGCAGATTCAAATGGTGTTTCTTGATTATTGGGTTTGTGGCATGCTCAAAAACAAGAACTTTATTGTAAACTCACCTCGGCTGTGTTGATGGAGGTTGTAGTTTCTGCATCGACAAGGCAATACTCATGCATGACCCAATCAGTTCTACAACCATTTGGAGCCTTTCCTCTGTAGAAAACAAGAGTTTTTTTCTTCCCCACAATATGGTTCCTCCTTGAAGATACAATCTTTTTATCAGTGCCGGTCGCTTTCCAGTAACCAGAACTTGTCACCCTGTTGGCTCTGCTTCCATTCCTGTATTTTGATTCCTTGTTACTGAAGAAATATCTCTCTTGCTCCAAATCACCTACACACAGACCACACATTACATACATACATATATACTTATATATAAGTCTGTTATTATAAATGGAAAACTATATACTTAAGCACATATTAAGCATAATTATTTTCAGCTAACCTGGCAAATCCCAAGGATCATACATGCAAACGTTGACCTCAGGAATTATTGAAGCAGGCAGAGGGCACGAAAAGACTTTGCATCTTAGGTACTGAAAGACCAGCTCTTCATCTGTAGGCTGGAAACGAAAACCAGGAGGCAATCTGATCATCCCATTTCTAACAAAGTTGAACTTGTCCATTGTTGAAAAACAAAAACAAAAACAAAAACAAAAATGAAAGCTTTTTTCTTGATTCTTATTGGCCTCTGTCAACTGAGATGAGGAATGCCAAGCAACCATGTCAAGTATTTATAGTCCAAGAGAAAGAATTTGGAGAGAGAGTATCTTTTGAGTGGTTGTGCAAGAAAAAGAAAAAGAAAATTGATTCCAAGCTAGCTAGCGGCGGTGTGAATATAGAATGGGACAACAATCACTGGATTAATACTTTTTCATGTTTGACAATTAAAAAAAGCTTTTTTACTTACTTAAAAGATCCTTTTCTTGTTTTCTACACGTAATAATCTCTGTAATTTGTGATGCAAATTAAATTCTTAGATAAATCTAAGTCGTTGTTTTAGTTGGCATCTCATCTCATGTGAAAGAAAGACATGTTAACAAGCAACCAAAGAGCATTGGGGCTTATCAGCAATTATCAGATATTATTATATTGGAGGTGTTGATGAGGCCGTGGTGATTTTGAAGGTAAGTTCACATTTTTTTTATTTATAAATTAAGATGGATTGGTGAAGATTTTCTTGTAGAGATGAAGTCATCCGATGTCATGCTTACTAATCAGAAGGGAAACACACATAATTAAGTTAAGGGTGATTTTATTGGCACCCCATTATTTGTTTTTTGCATCCCTATACTAATTTTAAACATGAATAACCTATTTCACCCTTGTACATAAGTACAGTTAAGAACAAAAAACATTTAAAATAAAAATTAAATTTGCTCACTACACCCCACATATGTTCCTGCAACCCTAGTAAATTTTTTTTCTCAAACCATCATATTCCTACAACCCTAACAAGGTTTTACACTTATATTGGTGAAAAAATATTTTGTATTTATTCATGAAGGGTGAGACTGAAGTTAGAGAGGCTTTGAATACGGTATGAGTTTATTTTTTGGTGTTTTTCAAGTTTTGGATTTCATGATGGTCACTGGTTGCATTCAGCATACCAGTACCGAACTCGATAGGTAAATTTGGTGGGATGTCATCGAAACATTGCACCTATTTCAGTTATGTTTGACCAGCCGTTAACTCAAGATGCGGTGGAGATCCACCGTAACATGGAACGGTGTTTGGTGGTGTATTACCAAAATTTTACCTACAATTTAGTGGCAATGAACCAAAATATATTTATTTTTTCAGTAACTTGTTGTCAACCACAAATTTAATGCAAGCTATTTTGACCTTATTCCCATTAAAGAAACTAAAATAAGGTGACGCCCCTAAAATAGATGACACATCATCCAATGTGATGGTCATCTCATTAAAAGGCATATGAAAGGTGTTCGTTTCGGGATGTCACCTCTCAACGAAGGTATATACAACAATCTTATCTACATTCCGATAAGAACACCTAATAAATTGCTCTAATCTAGACATCTGAATGCACCCTTTGAATATACTATTATTTGGATTAGCCCACCAATTCCACTCATGAATGGTAGATGTCTTCGACATGCACCTAAGGGGCTCACGTTCCTAGTCAAATACAAAAAAAAAATATTTAGGTTAATTACCATGAACGAGACTTATATTATGCCTTCTATTGTTATAGTAAAACAACTTACCTAGTTATTCCAAATTGCAATGTGAGTTTTAAAACTCATAAGTAAAGACGGATTATTGGGACCTACTCGAGATGGCTTAGTAGGCTCGGCATCTACAACATTACTATCATGAGTAGCAGCTACATCTTCAACCTCTGCATCAACATTACTATCAACGGCTACATCTTCAACCTCTATAGCATCCTCAAAGTGGTTTGGGAGACCATGTTGAGGCTGCTCTTCTTGAGAGGCTAACCACGCCACTCTATGTCTCCTCGTTGAGGTTGTGAGACGCTATCTATCAGGTCGAGATGATGAAGCCTCAGTAGTACATCTACAAGTCCTCTTCATACCTAAAAAACAATATTAAGTACAAACTTGGTTAACGAATTTGGTAGATGATCACTGAAACAAGAAATGAATTCACTGAAACAAGAAACGAATTCAGTAGACTACCACTGAAAAACTGAAACACATTCAGTGGACTACCACTGAAAAATTGAAACAAATTCGGTGGATTACCCTTGAAAAAAGGAAACACATTAAGTGGTCAGCCACTGAAAAACGGAAACAAATTCGGTGGACTACCACTTAAACAAAGTAACGATTTCGGTAGGATTTATACAAGTAAGTTAAGAAATGGGGTTCATGAGAGCAATTTCGGAAGAAAAATGGGGTGCAGTGAGTAATTTTAAATTTTACTAAAATTCAGTGGGGTGTAAGGAGAATGTAGGGTGCAAAGAGCAAATTTTGGGATGCCAATAAAATCACCCTTAAATTAATTATTTACCTCAAGTAATTATCACAATTGATCAATTGGTCCAATGCTGTGTAACTTATTTTTGTAGTCAACTCCCTCCCAAATCCTTATTAATCCCTTGATCACTATTATGATGAGTTTTACCCATCATACACATGCCCTAATTTTTTGTTTCACAAACAACAAAACAAAATTACGGGTCTGTTTGGAAGTTCTTATGTAGGAAGGACATATGCTCATAAGCGCTTTTTACTAGAAGCAGTTTTGTTAGAAGCACAACAAAATGTTCATTAAAAAAATCCAAGTGTTTCATGAAGAAAGCAATTGATAGATTCTTCTTTATAAAACGCTTTATTCAGAAGTGTGTGGTAAATACTTTTAACCATTTTAGAAGCACATGAAGGATAATAAACAAATCCC